AGCATAGTTAAATTCGATTTGCTTATTTCAAGCATAAATTGAAAAGACAGTGCTTCGCGCGCAACTTGTCATAGACCATATACTTCAGTGCTAAAAGAAGTAGCTGTAACAAGAAATTGCGGGGTGTTTGCATGAGTTGTTTTTTTATTGGCATATTTACATTCATTTTAATTCCTTTCACTTTCAGTTTTGTTTCAATATGCCATCTGTTTTGAAAATACATAAATGCAGCAATGAAATTCGGACTATTCGTGTTAAAGATTAACTCAGTAATATAAAGATTTGTTATTAGGAAATCTTTGTGGCATAATAATAAGAAACATTGCAGAAATATGACGCCATGATCCTTGGAGGAGACAAATGCACGCAGAGATCGATGTTTATTTTAAGTAAAAATAAGAAAAATATATGCATGGTGCACTCAATTCTAATATATCTTTAAACGAGAGAACTAGAAAAGTTCTATGCTAATTTTCTTAGAGCATCAAAGTGAGACATTCCAACGCCAATCTACAATAATCATTTTTGACTGTATGCAAATGTTGAGGTAATCACATTGTTTTCGAGTTTGCATTCCCGCGTAGTGAAGGCTTTAAAACTAAAAAGACCAACTACAGGTACCGCCAGTGTTAATTCACAATCAAGCCAGAGAAGATTGAACTGCATGAGTATTAAATTAAAATTGAATCATACATCGCCACTGTTAAAGTAAGACTTGGGAACTTTTATACAAGCTTTACATTTTCTTTAAAATTTTGATCAGACATATCCAACTTCTTTGTAAGATTAGAATATAGAAAGCTTGCGCCTTCTTTATTTTAGTTTGTTATGCAAATCATTTCTTATAGAACCAGTCAGGAAATACCAGGAATTAAAGGCAGCGTCCTGGTGTGAGTATAATAAATACATGCATGGTTTAAGAAATTAGCACGCACTAAAATTAATAGAATATTGCATAGTTAGACAGCACATTAAAATATTTGGGGGTGTTATTGAACATCCTGCTGAGTGTAAAGACATGCGATATTTTCACGGACCACACTATCCAATATTTCTATATATATGGAGAGGACCATGATCTCAAAACAACTATTTAAAAAGTCAGCAGAATATAGTTCTTCCCTTAGATTAACTCCTGTTTCGTTTCTTTGGAAGATGGCATCATTATATAAAACATTGTAGAAATACAACGCCATGATCCTTGCAGGAGGCAAATGCACGCAGAGATCGATGTTTATTTTAAGTAAAAATAAGAAAAATATATGCATTGTGCACTCAATTCTAATATATCTTTAAATCTTTAAACGAGAGAACTAGGAAAGTTCTATGCTAATTTTTTTGGGAGGAAAAAGTGGAAAAAGTGAAACATTCCAACGCTAACCGCTATATGACTGACTTGTGTATGCAAATGTTGAGGTAATCACATTGTTTTCGAGCTTGCATTCCCGCGTAGTGAAGGCTTTAAAACATAAAAGACCAACTACAGGTACCGCCAGTGTTAATTCACAATCAAGCCAGAGAAGATTAAACTGCATGAGTATTAAATCATTTGAATCATACATCGCCACTGTTAAGGTAAGACTTGGGAACTTTTAAACAATTTTTATCTTGCAAATTGCTGATATCAATATAAGCGTGGAATGGCAAAAGAGTTTGCTGCGTATAATATTGGTGAACGTGTATATGACGTTTCCGAAGCGAAAGTTATTTTGATCCGACAATTATAGTAGTGATGATACATTAAACACGGTTTAAAAGGCATTTTGATACTTAGAATTATCTGAAACGATAAATTGAACAATGTCTTTTTCGTTTTTCTGTTAAAGCATTTTAACAACTAGCCATATCATGCAGGTTCGTTTCTTTAGCATATAGAAACTTCGAAGATACATAACTGAGAATCAGGTCCAGAAATACAGTTGAAAGAATATTTATGCACCCAATATGCATATTTGAATGATATCTTGCTGAGACTACAATTTTAGCAATTAAGTTCTTTTCTTGGAGCCAGTTTCCAAATACTAGGAATTAGCTGTGTATGCTTTGGAAACGTGGCTAAACCTTTGTTTATGTTTAATGATCAAACGTGTCCACGGTAAAAACAATAGAATTTTGACATGAAAAGAGTTATATAGCTATAGCCATAGTGTCTCTTAAAATCGCGAATTGGCTATTTGCATTGGTAATATGATGGTATATTTTCTCATGCGATTAAAGATAAAACATGCATGCACGAGTGAGTATTTTAATTAACGCTTAATGCTCAGCTGATATAGGTTTAGATTTTAGTGCCTGTGTAGCAGGGATTAGCCATATTATTCTTAGATGAGTATTTTTAGAAAATTTATATTAAGCAAAACCAGTATTATTTTATTGTATTTTATTGCACTATATATAAGTAATTCTTACTTCCATTTTGATGTTATATATTTGTTAGTAAATAAATTGCAAGAAATGTCGTTAATTTGACTGAAAAATTGATGATAGTACAATTATACAGGGTGTCTCAAAAAAACGCAACCAGCAAGACATTAATACAGATCTAAAGCGCAATAGATAAGCACCTTTGGGAATTGAAAATGTCTCATAATCCTTCATTTAAAATGCTAAAATTCATTTTAGCTGAACTATGGTGGAAACCCGAACAATATAAATATTCTTGCATACTTAAGTGCATGGTTGGGTTTTTTTTTTGAACACCCTGTACAGTCTAATCAGAGGACTTTCTAGAATTATTCAAACATCAGCTATTGTTAGTAAAATGCACCTTCATATGCACCGAACATACATGCAAATTACGTTGTTTGTAAGCCTATTGATGCAATTGTTGTGGAAGGTGTTGTGGATGAAAGACTTGTAGATTTCGCTATATTATATACCCATATTTTATATAATCAAAATTAGTCTATACATCTCTCAATGACCTGTAAAGGTAAGACTTGATTAACTTTTAATCGATGAATTGATCAGCTGTTTCCTAAGTTATATATTGATCACCTGTTTAAGCATATATGCAGCGCTTCAGTAACTTACACCTATTGCCTATGAACAATGATGCCATTTCAATCTTAATTGTATATAGTAGCCGCTACTTTTAAAGTTGGCGCGGTACCGTAGTTTTGTGGACTTCGAGTCGTAAGATGCATGTAATTCATATAATATAATGCATATAAACTTTGCCAAGCCAAAGCTATATTGTTTTTTTGAAAGATTCAAATCCTTTGTAATCAAGTTTATACCGAAGTTAAAAGCGCACTTCGATAACTATATACTTGTCGTTTGAAAATGGTGGTGATTGAAACACATCAGCAGAAAGGACAGAAAGCGTATTTTAAACAATAGAATTAAAACCAAGCAAATGACTTTCAAACAAGACTATATTGTCGTTTCAATAAACTGAACACTCAAACTCAAAATACCATGGCAAAGTAAACATATTTGAATGGCCAATATTCTTTACATTTTGTCCGATGGGCGATGTTGAACACAATTCTTTCAAAACAAGAAGTACAAAAGGTTGTCTCTACTCCAATATACAATTAACAGACATACCAAATAGATTTTATTTCTTAAAACCAGTTCATAAACACCCGGAAATGGAGGCTACATGCAACCATTCATATTGTCCTTGTAGCTATATATTTCTTGTGAAATAATCATTGCCTGACAAGGCCTGCCTCACATAAGTGCACTTATACATGTATACAATAATTATATATACCCATATACAGCATGCTTAGAACATATAAGTGTGAGAGGCCTATTTTAAACTATCTATATATATATATTATTTAACAAATAGCCTAGAAAACATTTTCTGCGTCTCTATACAGTTATAGAAACACGCGTGGGAGTTTGGGAGAACGAGAAATAATCACTGGGAAAACGAGCCCGTTGAACGAGTTTTTTATAGGTAGAGTGATAAAACAAACAAAGAGAACAAAAGCAAATTTTGCTGTCGCTATTCCGAGTTTCACGCGTTTAAGCGATCATCAGGCAACTCTCTTTGTTTGTTTATGTGTATATATATATATATATATATATATATATATATATATATAAACAAATCAACAAAATATAATCATAAAATTGTATTTCATCGCTACACTGTGTTTCACGTACTAGTTTTAGTACGATCCTCAGGCGATAACTATTTACAACGGTTTACGCGCACGCGTTTTTGATTGATTACGCGAGAGTTTCACTACTATTTACTTGTATTGAGCACTCTGGTTTACTACGCACAAATCCAAGATTATATATATTATTAATTGAAATCTTTATTTGAATGTAATGTACCTTTATATGCAAATTATAAGGTTGAGTTGTTAGAGTTCTGATAAATTTTCTGTTAAACCATATAGTTTGTTGACAACTGAAAATATAAACTAACCAAGTAGAACTGGATCACCTGTAATCAAGCTTGAACTGTACATCATCGCCACTGTTAAGGTAAGACCTGAATTGATTTTTTTTTATTTTGGGTTTGTTGTAAGTAATAATTGTCCATTTTATTTGTAAATATGAGATTGGTATGTCGTTTTGCAAAGACATAACCGACTATTAACGGCTTTACATAATTGCTTTAACTTCAAAAAGAGTTCTTTAAAATGTAATTCGGAGTTTTTATATAACAAATATCACTTCAAACTTTCAGTGTCGACTGCAATCACTGCGTAAATATTTTTGGAAAACAGCAGTCGACGTTTAGTCTTTGAGTAGGGGATTTAATTTAGATGTTGTCGTATTTTGATTGTTCAGTGAAATTAAGCTGTGAAAAGCAATAAATAGCCTGTTCAATGCAACCGGAAAACGGGTGATATTTACTTCGTTTTTACCATATATGAAGGAATATCCTGGCTACGCCTCGAAGACTTTTTCTAGACTGGGTCTAGCTGTTATGACACCTATATATCTGAATCGGCATAAAGAGATCTCCTAAATTATCCGTGAGCTGGCACGACCGGCCGCCGGGCGACGGTACTAATTTCGCCCGGAGATTTAAGCCACTCTTGGAAATGTAAATACAAAATTGAAGTTGTCCGGCATTATATCATGGACGTTAGGCGTTTTTGTAAGTTATGCGCATGCGTGAATTTAAGATTAGTAGAAACTGGTAACTAGCAGACGTTGCAAACGTTAGATAAACTAAATTAAAATTTTGCTTCGCGTCAGCATTACTACCACTTTAAAACTTTTTTTTAAAATGTTTTTTAATAATGGATCATCTTGAAAATATACAGAAAATTCAATGTTAAAATCGATTGAAAGGAAATGTAAAAGTTGCTCTCGGAGAGGAAAAAATCTACGATTTTTAAGCTTTTTAGAGTTTGACATGTGAATTTACCAACAAATATTGGGAAAGCCTTAATTTCATACTTCAAACAAGTTTATAAAGGTGATTCTGATTCAAAAAGCAGCTGAAATTTCTGTAAAAATTTTTAGTACTGTATTTAAAATAATTTGTAGCACAATTAATATATAGCTGAATTTTGATAGCCCGGCAGTCGACTTAATCAATGTATTTAGCACCTATGCGAAAGGAACATTTGTGCATTTCTCAATTCACAATGTACTTTATGACAAGGGTATTATTCAAGCACTCATTTGTTTTCATGCATTTGTTACGAAGCTGTATAGACGATACGAAAACGCAAGTAAAACATAAAAGAACATAAAGACTTATTATAGCTACTTATTATATAGATGTTTCGCAAAATAACATTGACTCGATCTTTGAAAGCAAATCTAAATTGCCGATATTCTTCTGGTATAACATATTTAAATTGTCCATATGAAGTACTTTTGCTCACATCATATTCAACAATTACTATTTTACATAAATTTGCAAACACAGTAAGCTCTTTTTCTTAGATTGTTTATATCATTAAAATTTGGCGAAATATTCATCGGAATTAAGACGTGCACTTATATAGTTCGTGCATAATATAATAGATGTATACAGAGTATGTGATTTTTAGAGCCTGTTTCTAAATACATGGAATTGTAGAGGCTAGCAGCCTTCATAGTTATTTAGTTTTTAGTAGCACAGCACGTTTAATAAATAGAAATTATTGCAGTGTGATTTTTGGCAGTTGGTGGGAATTTTTATATAATGCACGATGCTTAAAACCTTTACGTTTTCACGGTGTACTTAAAGTTATATTTAGAAACAACCGCAGGGTTCAAATTTCGAGTTAATTTCATAACAATCCTCATATTTTAAGTGTTTCGTTCATTTACTACATTTATTATATCCAATATTAAAATGTATCTGGGGTACGAAAATACTGATTTATGTAATTTTCATCTGAAACCAGTCTGTTATTAGAAACAACTGGATTTTAGCGTTCAACAGGGGGCGTGTAGCGCGGGCTTAGATGACAGTTTACGAACATTCTAGAAGCATCGGGGTGTCACAAACACGCACACCGCTTTTCTCTAACGCGCTGCTTGATAGGCACCAGTAATTTAATTGTTTTTACAATGGTTGAAAACATGTTTTGGATTCATTTGGCGTAGTTAAATTCGTATTGCTTATTTCAAGCATAAATCGAAAAGTGCTTGGTAGTATATGAAAAAATATATGAAAATGCTAGTCTATAAAACGACCGGCAAGCTTCTGTATCAGCCTGGGCAGTGTTAATCACAAACAATCCTGAGTGGATTTGTCAAAAAAGTACACTACAGTAGAACTGCACCATTATTGAATCAAGTTAGAATCATACATCACCACTGTTGAGGTAAGATTTCAGTTGGTAAATCTGATTTATTTTTCCACCAAATGCATGTCACTGTCGTAACTTGTTAGTTAAAAAATTGTGTGGTCTTGTCAATTACAAAATTGCACATAAAGTGAATACAGTGAATAATAAGTATAATGGGTATATTTTGATCAAACTTGCTTGATCAAACTTGTGATGCTTTGAGCCCGATTTGAAAAACATTTTGATTAACGTTATATACGAATTCAAATCTCCCTACTGCAATTCTTGCTGCAAAGGCAAGACCACGACCGGACAATCTTTGAGTATCGAACTTGTCAGGAATTTTGCTTACTGTTTAATATTGCTTATACACGCGCTTATACATAACTACGAATATACCAATATTCCGTTGCATAACTGTTAAAGACAAATCACTTAACACTAGCCTCACACACACTGGACTGCCTTTTTATTAAGTAGGTAACCTCAATAGATTTTGTTAAGAATTTTTAATCCCTAACTATTAGGCATTTCTTGTGACTGGATTGTAAACAATATATTTCTTTTGTTTTACTATATTTACATCGAAAAATTAATGAGTTATTCATAATCAGACAGTTTAAATTAAAAGTTTGATGCATGCGTTCTGATATATGCAATCTTTATTCGGAATGACTGTCATTCTATTTTGCTGAAAATATAGGCTGGAATAGGATTTAAATTTAATTTAACTATAGCTATTTTACGCAATATAGCAAATCATTTTCAATAAGTGCCGTACATTTTATATTTTTAACTTTCAAGAAAAAAATTATCAGGACTGATAAAAATTCCAAAACCTAACAAATATACTTTAATTTTGTCTCAACGGTATTATTTCTTAGAACCAGTCCGTAACTACCTGGAAATGAAGACCATACATGGTTAATTCGTTTTTAGTGCCACAGCATGCATACATGTTGACTATATAACCTACTCAATTATTGCAATATTGTTTTTGACAGTTGGTGGGAATATTTCGAATTTTTAATTTATAATGCACAGTGATTTTGGTATAGGTAAATAAACAATCTATAATATCATTCACTGTTTTTTTTTAATATATCCAATTGTGCAAAAGATGTTCACTTGATTTACACAACAATAACCGATTTGAGATTAAACAGGGGACGTGGCGAGGGCTTTTTTACAGGGAAAGACTTTCAACGAAATCCATGGCCATTGCACTTATGAACGCACCAATTTTTGTGCATTCATCCTGTATACACTGAATACAACAAATAAAACAAATTACTGGCCACCTTAGTTAAAATGGTTTTAAAACCGTAGAGGTGTTTCAATTCGTGATGGTTTTGGTTGCCATAAACCAATTCACACACCCACGTCATATGCAACGTTAATTTCAACACTATGCGGTAAAAATACATGCATGCAGTACCCCTCGCCATTTCAAACCATGCAAGCAAACGATTTTCTGAGGTAGCCAGGGGACCTAAGCTTATATTTTGAAATGACGTCCGATGATAAAAGTGATAAAACTATATTTTACTCATTCATAGCTCAATCGTATCTGTATCTGTGTTGTTTATCCAATGTTTATCGATTGCTTGTGAAATGTTTTCAATGAAGTACATACTTTCCGCTTTCCATCAGGACGTGGCTTATTACCAGTCTTAAGCTTCCAAATTTCGCGCATACTCATAATTAACAAAACAATCCAACGTCGACCGTCCATAAAACCGTAGAAAAACGTCTGCGTATGTTTTCAATTACGAAAACTATGGCGGAAAAACTGAATATCAACTTTTGAAACAAAACATACCCATTACAATATTGGTAATGTAGTTAAGAGTGGTAAGAGTGTAAACACAACAGCCCAGGAGCGTTGTCCAAAGGACACCGCGGAAATTGGTAAGACTTCTCAATACTTCGCAATTCTCAAGAAAAAGATTTATAAGTACTCATCAAAATATGTCTTGCACAAAAGATTTGAAAATAGCACACGACAAAAACGAATCGTCCTGATTAATAACCTTTGGTTGGTTGGCTAATGCGGATCAGAACTCAGCAAAAAAATTGTACTTTTTAAATTTATGCAATTTTTTCTCTATCTTTTCTCTGATAGCGATACAGAAATGCACAATTGTGAACCAGTAGATTTTGTGGTTGGAACTTCATGTAAACACCAATTTCTGCGGTGTTGCTTCGAAGTTGCATTTTTTGCATCCACATGTAAAATCATAAGTCCTTGGTATAATGCTCAACTGACGTATTATTTTGAAACATGTAGGATTTGAGCTTCAACTGAAGCAGTCGACCACGTTTCAAGATGTCTTTGTTTAACGTCTTGGTTCTCTTCGTGTATTTGCAATTGTCAACGATAATTTTTGGTCATGAAAATTCAACGAATAATGATGAAGTAAATGGAAAAAATATAAGTATTGTCTCTTGCCAAAAAATTCAATTCGATGAAATAAAATTAGCAGACGTGTTGCATCTAATGCGGGAACCTGCCATAAACACCGTTGAAATAACAGTGACCGTTGCTTCCGCAAATAGAACTCGAATTTTTCCCGAAATGGTGTGGCCCTGGGCTAGCGAAATTGGTCGAACTTTAATTTCTTTGATTTCTCACGCTAAGACCAATATTTTCCTTTCGGCGGCGGTTTTTACCTTCCCATTAGAAGTCGGAATTAAAAGAGTTTCTATTGAAGTCACGGAAGAACCCATTGGTTGTTTACTCACGGGAAAGGAAGGATCTGATCTGATTTTCAACTATCTTTTGAATGATCTTTTCTTACACATGGAAGATAAAGATAAAGACAAGTACTACAAGCTCTGTCGTCCGCATGATGTTGAAGGGCCCGTTCAGTTCAACTGTTGTCGAATTACAGGCCGTCATGATGAGAACCTAAAAATCTGTGCTGATTATTCTTCTATTGTGCTTGAATGGGCTCGTCTCTGGGTGATAATCATATTATTTACAATATTCTCTTTAATGACGTTACCTTTACTAATGGAACACATGTTAACGTGCCATGAAAAAAAGTTTTACAAAACTTCTTTCAGTCATATGTCTCTCACTTCTATCGTGTCAATGATATTCTTTGAAGGTGATGGGCCAGTTAAATCCCTATTAAGACGTTGTGTATTCGTGGGGCTTATGTTTATAGTTTTTCGTCCAAACATTTTTCAGATTTTGTGGTTGAAAATTGTATTTGGTATATGGGCTTTTCTTTTTTGTGTATATGACTTTGTTGAGATGACGTGGAAAAGATTAAACGAGCTAAAAAACGAAATATATGAACCACAGCTTGAGGAAGGCCTGATCAATTGTTTCACATATCCTTTCATATGCGACAAATTTTCAATTAAAAAGGTTCGGCTGGGTCCAAAATGCAAGGTTCTCTTTTTCTGTGCATTATCTCCTATTTGGATAGCATGTAATCTTTGTATGTTTGTCTTTTGTAAGTTTCTGAAATGTTTCTTTTTTCCCTATGGCTATGCTGTTCATGGAGAAATAAGTTGTATATGCCTGCGTATTCTTGCATTTCTTATAAGATTGCTTACTTTGGGGGCTATCTTATACTTTACCTGGTCGATTCTTATATTCGTTTTCTCTGTAACTGTTGGGTTGATTCTAAATGGAGAGATTTTTAATCCTGTCGTTGCCATCGTTATGGTACTGATAGTCTTTTTTTGGAGAAGTTGGCAGTTTTCAGTTGAAGCACAATGTTTGCGACTTAAAACGACCATCATCAACGTTTGCAAGGACAAAGCAAAAAATATTGTTGTCAATAATGGTCCTAATGCAGGAGGCACCACGAGTTCCACAGGTAAACCAACAACTAACGCTCGCAGTAGGAAAAATAGACAAATTTAGGCCTGATTAATTCACACTAGTTCTTAAGAATGGGGGATCAATTGTATTATTTTCCGATAGACAAAACATTTTGCGTACTATAGTGACCCCATAGGCCCAGAAAATGGGAATCCCAAATTCTTACGACAATTGTGAATCAGGCTTTAGCATAAGGACGGGAACGTAAAGAGGAGGTGAAAATGGCCAATAAATACCGTATCATGTCCAAATATAGACGCATCACACCATTTATTCGCCATTTCTACGTTTCTACATTTCTACGACGTCCACGTCCTCTTGCTAAATCTGCCTAGCTGAATGTTTCTAGAACACGGTATCGGTGTCAAGTTACGCGTGCAAAGTTCTGTCCTATAGCAACACTGTTTAAAAAACAACGTTATCAGCTTTTCTATATATTAAATGATTTTTTAATAATTGAGTTTAAAAAGATTTCTTTTAGCCGCCATCCGGCTCGTCGTAGATGCCTAAGATCCCTAATACATAAGTAGCACCCACGTCCCAGCTTCAACTTTCTGTTAACTGAATTTCATTATTCAAGCGTTATTAGTACTCAAACTCAAACCACGCCGCCAATTTAAACGTTACATAATCAAGACTTTTTTCATTATCACATGGTCAATCTATGGCCCCATCCCTTTAAAGATTTCCTGATATATATATATATATATATATATATATATATATAATTATATATATATATATGTATGTTATTTACCAGATTGGAGGTCCGTATAGGGAAATATTTGCCAAGGTCTCAAAAACAGGAGGGAAATATTTTCCTATACGGACCGACTAAACTGGTAAATAATAGATTTATTTATAACACGGACCTCATATGGACCTTCGCGTAGCCAATCAGATTGCAGGAAACGCTAAAATATGAATTTGGACTACAAGAAAAAAGATAGAAATACGTATTTCGGTAGATATTGCATGGTATAAAATTACATCGCTTTTATATAGAGGACCATGCTGATGAAGATGAAATACTGGCTATTAAATTTGAAGAGAAAACTGGCGAGGCAATGGTATCAAAGAAACTTTACGAAGACATCAGCAAAATAATTCTTCCTTTGGACTATCTTCTGTTTCGTTTTTTCCGAAGAGTCGTCTTCGTTAGTTTATACGCAGTGATTATGTTTATGGTCTTGAGTCTATCGCGGAAAACGGGACTCTCTGCTGGTGCTCAAGCACTTAGCGCTATTGTTGGTATCCTAATACCGTTTATTTTTGACACAATTTACGCCGATAATCATAAAGCACAAAGGAACTCGATAAATATAGCGACAAAGGCCCAGGTTGGGCATCTATTAAAGGTTCACAAACGCGAAAACAACATAATTAGGGTTGAATTAGTCAACAATTTGACAAGTTAGAATTATTTTGTCCTGTGCAGACTATCAGTAGCCTGCATGTGTTTTGGCACACAACCGGCTACGCTATTCGAGAATATTTTCGGGGAGCATGGAACTATATTATAATATTAATTGATCAAGCTAAGCCTGGATTCTTTAAAATCATAATCTAAACAACGTAATATAGTCATAGAGTTTATTCTGTAACATCGCATATACAAGAGAACGTAGTTGCGAACCATCCCAATTTTGTGGAACAAAAGAGGCCCACAAGTGAACAATGGGAAGTAGATTAGTAGTCTATTATACAGGGTGTTCAAAAGGCCGATAACTATTGAATTCATCCATAATTATAACAATGTCAATGTAACAGTTAGAGTTTGAATGCCTAAGCATCCTGTTGGAACCCACAAGTGTATAAATGTTTGATAATAAATTAAATTTGTTCAGCTGCACCCATTCACAAATGATTTTTATTAACAATATTAACACTTCACTAGCAATACATGCATGCAGCATACCCTCGCCATTTCAAACGAAGCAAAATATTTCCTCCGCTAGCCAGACCTTACCCTCTAAGCTTATGTTAGGAAATGACCTAAATCAGCCCATAGGCCCAGCATAGCTGATGTTTCAAATTTTTCCAAAAGGTGAAGTAAAATCACCAGTATTCCTGCTGAATTTATTTATTTGAGGGTTGATGCATACTTCACTATACTTCACTATATAGTTAAATCTTCAAAACATCAAAACTGCACAAATTTTAAAATCCCCAAGCACTAAACGTCGAATTTTGTTTTCGATTATTGAATTTATGCAGTGATTACAGTCGACTCTATATAAGCTTTAAAGTGATTTGTTTTTAAAGCTCCGAATTACACTTTCAAGAATTATTTTTTAATAAAGTTTAGGCGATGATGTAAATCCTTAAATAGTTGGGCAGGTCTTCGTAAAACGACATACAAGGTGCTCATACTTATGAAAATAAAATGCATTCTTACACCAAACACGAAATAAACAAAATAGACACCTACCACTTCAAGGATTATAAACTACGAGTCGTTTGTTATTTCTCCACTAGTCGTTCCTATCTCACCAACTGTTTCAGTATGTGTTCTGATAATCTTTTAATCTTCTCCCAGTGTTTATACAATTGTTATTTGATTCCATATTTCATTTTGATTAAAGTTTACGAAACATGTTTTCAAAAAAAATGCTGTGCAAAATGACGGTTAAAATACGGACGTTCTCTTTGAGATACAAACTTTTTGCCTTAGCCAATCAGCAAGTCGTAGATTACCGTTCTTTACTAGTTCAAATTTCGCGCATGCGTACAAATACCATGAGCATTAAACGTGCAAGGGCCATGGCATTTGGGCAACTTAATTTGGTTTCCGCTATGTTCTGTCACAATACCCGGGTCGGGTGTAATTCCTAATCTCCGGGCGGAACTAGTGAACAACTGACTGCTTATATAATATATGAAAGAAACCTAACCAATTTAAGATGGAGTGGGTGTTCAAAAAAAATACTGTATTGACGTACTTACATTGTTTAATAAGTACATTTAACCATGTCAGAAACATAGTTTAATGCTTGAATACGTACTGCATAGAAATCTGCATTGCAAAATGGCAACCCGATTTAACCGCGCCTCAGAAAAGTATTTTTTGCTTCACAGTTCTGACTTCCGTGTTATTTTGCAACATTTAGGTGTTGAGGTCGAAAGCAGCCAAGTTTCAAAATGCCTCTGTCTAACCACCTGACTGTCTTTGTGTATTTGCAATTGTCATTGACAATATTTGCTGATAAGAATTCAACGAATATTAGTGGAGTGGATGGAAAGAATACTAGTTTTATCTCTTGCAAGACTATTCAATTCGATGAGATAAAATTGGCAGACGTGTTGCATCTAATGCGGGAACCTGCCATAAACACCGTTGAAATAACAGTGACCGTTGCTTCCGCAAATAGAACTCGAATTTTTCCCGAAATGGTGTGGCCCTGGGCTAGCGAAATTGGTCGAACTTTAATTTCTTTGATTTCTCGCGCCAAAACTAGTATATTCGCTTCGTCTTTATATACTTTTGCTTTAGAAGTCGGAGTTGAAAGAGTTTTTATTGAAGTTACGGAAGAACCCATTGGTTGTTTACCCTCCGGAGAAAAAGGATCTAATCAAATCTTTAAACTTCTTTTGAATGATCTGTTTTTTCACATGGAAGATAATGACAAGGACATGTATTACAAATTGTGTCTTCCTGATCATGTTGAAGGACCTTCCAAATTTAACTGTTGTCGAATAATTGGTAATAGGACAATCTGTGCTGATTATGATTCCATGGTGCTCAAATGGGCTCGCCCAGGCTCAATAGTCGTTGTGGCAATATTCGCTATTACGATGTTACCTTTCCTACTAGATCACATAATGACCTATCCAGAAATAACATTTTATAAAACTTCTTTCAGTCATATGTCTCTTATTTCTATTATTTCCATGATATTCTTTGAAGGTTATGGACATTTCAAATCATTTCTGAGACGGTTTGTGTTTGTTTTGCTCACATTAATTGTGTTTCTTCCGGTCGATTTTTTTGAATATTTCTGTTTAAAAATTTTATTTTCTATCTGGGCTGCTCTGTTTTGTCTCTACCCTGACAAGCAGATAACAAACGGAGAATTCAACAAACAAAAAGATAAAAAATTAAAACCCCATTTTGGCAAAAACCTAATCTTCTGTTTCACACCCCCTGTCTATCTTCACGAACACTTCTGCAAACCTCAAGACAGAAAAGACGGCGCATCAGACAAATCACACAGATCGTGCAAGAAACTATTTTCCAAATTAGGTGTTTACATATTTGATCTCCTTTTAGCATTTCTTGGTTCTTTAGGGTATCCAATCATTGTAGCCGTTTTTTTATGCATATATGTCCTTTTCAATTTCGCATTAGGTTTTGTTGTTCCCCAAACCAGTTTTTGTAAACAATGTTATCTAAAAGTTATCGAATTCATTTTCGGGACTATTATAAGATTGATAACTTTGGTGGTTATGGTCTTTTTCACTGGGTCGATTCTTATATTTCTTCTCTCTATAACTGTTGGGTTGATTCTAAATGGGGCGTTCTTCAATCCTTTCATTGCTCCCATTGTCACTCTGATAGTTTTTTTTTGGAAAAATTGGAAGTTCTCGGTTGAAGCACGATGCTTGCAACTTAAAACGTTAATCATTGAAGTTTGCGAGGATAAAATGGAGACGACGGGCACGGACGAAACGTTAATCATTGAAGTTTGCGAGGATAAAATGGAGACGACGGGCACGGACGAAACGTTAATCATTGAAGTTTGCGAGGATAAAATGGAGACGACGGGCACGGACGAAAGCAATGCTATTTCTAACAACGAACCAAAATCATCAAAATGGGACTTTCTATTCTGGTGGAGACATTCATGCATTGAAGCAAGTCGTTGCTCAGGTAAAACGATGAACGAACGTACTAATTACCGGCTACATCCGCCAACAACCGACAATTCACAAACGTGCAAATACCGGCATAAATATACAGAAACGAACCAAAGTCAGGCTGATAAATATAGCACTAAAATACGATCCTCTATTAAATAAACTTAAACTAAAAGTATTTGTTTATTTAATAAAACATTGTCATCTTAGAGGCGCTGAAAATGTGGCGCTCCAATTATTGTGAATTTATAGTAAACAAACAACTAGTTTTCACTGAATAAAAGCGTAAAACATTGTTTTATGACCTCGGGTCGATAGACACAATAAGGATAAACATATGCGTATGGCTCAGTCACTTGATAGCATAAAAACACTGGAATCCCTGGACAGCATGAACGCTTGACTTTAAAGTTCTGCGATAAGATATATTTCCTTTTATTATATATGGCGTGCGGGTCTTGTGACTACATGCCGTGCGTTGATTGGTTGTTTGTGGGTCTGGAATACCCTAGTATTAGACCGTTGACGAAATAACGGTCCAACTTACATATTTCTAAACAAAAAAATATTTCACTTTTATTCTTCACATGAAAAATATATGTTATTTACCGGATTGCATGGAGGTCCGTATAGGGAAATATTTCCCGAGGTATCAAAAACTGCCCGAGACGTTTTTTGTTACCGAGGGCAATATTCCCCTATACAGACCGACCAAACCGGTAAATAATCTTTCTTTTTTTTCATTATTTGATTCTCTCGAGGAAATTTAAGTGGCGCCAAATAAACAAGATTGATCATGACATATTTATTTTTATGAAATAACATGTATATAACGCCTGTTCTGATTGGTCGAAGCCTGTGTTTCGATCAGGCCATCCAAACACGGAAATTTAAAGTTTTAAAGAATTTAAATTTAAATTCAGGCCTTGTCGTTCGGCTAGTGTTTCGCGCGCTTTTCTTAACTCTTGCAACATTCCCGCGTGTTTGGATCAGGCCATCCAAACACGGAACCATTTAAGTAATTGTATAAAATGCAATTAAACGAATATACAAGCAAATTCCACGTATCAAAGAATTAATTCCTTTTTAAAATATATAAAATAGTTTATTATAAGGCAGGAAAACGTTAAATAGAAATTCTATTTAGTCCGATTCATTGTCATCACTGGGATTTAAATTTCGCGCGATCCGTACGGCCTGACTCTCCTAGCCATTCAGATTGCAAGAAAGCAATGCAGTACAGTAAAATACCTTATCAACCGATAACATTCGGTCCGTACTGGAAAATTATCAGACCTCGGTCTTTTATTTTTTCAGGACGGACCTCATATTCGGCTAATAAGTGGTATATAATTATAGATGTTAAAAAGTTAAAAGATGACATTTCGAGTTATTACAGAACGTCTTATTAAGTCAATAAATCTTTATTAATTCGAGTTTATTTTTTTATTGTAATCTACTCTTTTATTACATATATAGCTTCTAGAAAATTTTGATGCTATCTATACAGCTAGTCATTGTCTGCATTTTTATTTAGCTTGTTGTTAATATTTTTAAGTTTATTTCTGTGTATCCTCCTTCAGTCGGTAAATTTGTTCCTTTATTGTCGGTCTTTGTCGGTATAGATAGCGCGACTCCAATATATTTAAAGTTCTTTCAAGTTTACAATTAGACGTGAGAGATCTATTTAATATTTACAAAGCAAAGGAATCAGTTCTAAAGAATGAATCGAAGTTAATCCTCTTGCTAGATTATCCATTCATCCAGTTAAAATGTTACATTACTCTATAATTTATAGATAGCAATAAAGGTCAAGAAAATGGCAAAAATGATGAAAACAATTACAATGGAGATAAATTACTGGCTATCAAATTTGAAGAAAAACTGGCGAGCAATGATATCAAGAAACTTTACAGAAATCAGCAAATAATTTTTCCTTTGGACTATCTTCTATTTTATTTGTTCGAAGATTTTTTTCGTAATTGTTTACGCTTTCCTTGTTGTTGTCTTTTCTAGCGAGGATTCAGGGATTATGGAGAGCGTTCAGCACTCAGCGCTATTGTTGCGATCTTACTCGTTCTTTTGACAATTTACGCTGATCATCATACAGCACGAAGACCGCGGTAAATATGGCACGAAAGAAAACTGAACATATCATATTGAGAGTTAAAAACAAAAGAGAACTTGTTTCTTGTTCAGTTGAAATATCCCAACAATTTTTCACACAATTGTTAAAATCAATGGAACAATCGCTTAGTGCAATCGAAAAATTGATTATTAGAGAAAATATTCCAGCAATCGAACAACGTCTAACAATCAAACAATGGTGGCTAATAACTAAACAATCGTGGAAAGCGATCGAATGTTCGTGGCAGACAATGTTGTCAACACATCAACAATTAGAGCTCATAATACAACAATTAAATTCCACCATGCAGCAAGAACAGTCAAATCCTACAATGCAACAAGAACAGTCAGATCCTACAATGCAACAAGAACAGTCAAATCCTACAATGCAACAAGAACAGTCAAATCCTACAATGCAACAAGAACAGTCAAATCCTACAATGCAAGAACAGTCAAATCCTACAATTCAACAAGAACAGTCAAATCCTACAATGCAACAAGAACAGTCAATCCTACAATGCAACAAGAACAGTCAAATCCTACAATGCAACAAGAACAGTCAAATCCTACAATGCCAAGAACAGTCAATCCTACAATGCAACAAGAACAGTCAAATCCTACAATGCAACAAGAACAGTCAAATCCTACAATGCACAAGAACAGTCAAATCCTACAATGCAACAAGAACAGTCAAATCCTACAATGCAACAAGAACAGTCAAATCCTACAATGCGACAAGAACAGTCAAATCCTACAATGCAACAAGAACAGTCAAATCCTACAATTCAACAAGAACAGTCAAATCCTACAATGCAACAAGAACAGTCAGATCCTACAATGCAACAACAACAGTCAAATCCTACAATGCAACAACAACAGTCAAATCCTACAATGCAACAACAACAGTCAAATCCTACAATGCAACAAGAACAGTCAGATCCTACAATGCAACAAGAACAGTCAGATCCTACAATTCAACAAGAACATTCAGATCCTACAATGCAACAAGAACAGTCAGATCCTACAATGCAACAAGAACAGTCAAATCCTACAATGCAACAAGAGCGGTTAAATCAAACAATGCAAACATTAGGGATCACCAAGCGACAATTGAAACTAGCAGCCGAAAAGTTGAAGAACGGGCAAGTGACGAAAAATATCGAGCAGTCGTGGGACAAAATCAAACAATACCTAGAATCATGGAAAAAAATCAAAGAAATATGGGGTGGGATCGATATACATGGTATTCAGTTGGAACAACCGTCGGAAGATTTCACAAAATTCAAAAAATCATTTGAAAATTTCAAAGAATCATGGGAAAGAAATGAAGAATTAAAATTTGAACAACATTGGAGAAAAATTAAAAGCTGGGTACTGAATGATATTCCTAGCCTTCCCTCCTGTCATTCCTAACCTGATCGTGGCCATAACGATGGTAAAAAAATTGTGCCAAAATAAGTGACTATTTCAATTTATCGCAAACAAAATTTATGGGGTAGCTGAAAAACATCAGTTAGTTCGTTTAGTAACTTTTCAGGGGCCGGTTGCAATTGTATGAAAGCTGGATAGCGCTATCCACCAAACAGTCGTTTCTTCAATCGCTTTAACATTGATTAAATAGTAATCTTGTAATCTTATAGTAATCTTGAATTGTTGCTCCTTTTTAATAATTGTTGGTTCCAAGGTGAAATATTGTTTGTCAAGCATTTTAGTTCGATTGAAAAAATCACTATCCGATGGATAGCGCTATTCAGCCTTCGTACAACCCAAAGTTTAGCATTATTCTAGAACACATTCTATGCATGAGTTACAACGAACTATTTGACTATGCCTCTTGTGACAGCCCTTCACGACAGGTATACGGAACACTCTTATATAGACCTGTTCACAAAATAAATTGATTTTAGCTGCTCATATAAAAGATTTCTTTCCTTTTCCTTGAAAACCCCAACAAATTTTAACATTGCTGAAAATCATAGCTTATACGTGCCTATGTACCTTTGAATTTTAATTACAAAAATAATTTCTAAAGGTTTCATCCAAGAACGAACAAGGTTATATAACTTACCAACATGCATTAATTTAATATTATACTACAAAATCGGAGAACCTCAGAAGCGTGTTAGTTAAACTTTGTTATAAAATTCTGTGTATAATTTAACATATCTTGGATACTTGCGTCATTGTTTGTGTTACGTGGTGAATCTTATAAAGGACCCGTAAGTTTGATATAAACATAGATATAAACCGTCTAGTTTGATATATATAGACATGTTAAAGAGAAAATATAGCTAAATATGGTTCCTTTCTCGTCACGTGTCTATTGTATTTTAGCTAAACGTACCAATGGCATTCGTCTTGCTCAGCTCATCAACCTTGACTTGAAAAATATGTTAATTATAAGATTGCTATTGGTTTATCTGTGCAAAATACAATAGACATGTGATGAGAAAGGAACAATTTTTTTGCATAAATCTACCTCAACATAGATAATGAGTTGTATTGTAGTTTTATATGGTCTGTGAATCTATAGGTGGGATTGTGGGAAAAGTTCGTGAGGTGCCGCCATGCATGATTAGTACAAAGCGAAAAAAAATGTGAAATTTGATTGTGGCAAACCGGTGCTCAGTAAGCTGTTAACAATCTTAGTTCGAGTATATCTTCCTCTATATTATATATATATTATATTTATATTATATTATATATATATATATATATATATATATATATATATATATATATATAGGAAACAATTGTAACTACCACGGCCAGAATTGTTTCCTATATGTCTTTGCTACCGAGCAGTGTGGGAATACTTGTTGGTTATTTATATATATATATATATTATATATTATATATATATAATATATATTATATATTATATATATATTATATATATTATATATGTACGCCCTTAACACTAAATAAGTCCGGGTACTGTGCACGTTAGGAGTTGTGTGTTGAAAATAGGAAAAACTTTAATGCCGGGTAAACGAAAGTAAAACTAAAAACACCGCACAAAGGAACTTAAAAATGAAAAGCCTGGTTGAAAATCACAACATATTCAGTTATTACGTCTGAGCTTGAGTAGGTTTGATGTGCTTAGTCCATATTAGCGCGAGTAACAATAAATATAGAGTTGTATAATGTTGCTTTTGCGTGTACAAACAAAGCGTTTGCGGTTCGTATTAAAACCGAACCTGTCCTTCTTCAGCCAATCAGTCCCAAACTTGTGCCTGTTTTGCACGCTTTTTGTAGCTTACACTACCATTATTGAATCTACAACAACATGCACAATTAAATGTATTTCTAAAAACTCCCTATTTTTCTACATCTTTAAATTGCGTTGAAAACTAAATGGTTAAATACACTTTAAATTACTATTACATTAATACTTTAATTAATTGCGATAGTCCCTATTCAGCTTATTCTCTTTAGGCTGGGGTTTAGTGAGCAATGGCCTATATAACAATCTTAATAATTGTTTTACTATGTTACAGGTTTTTAAAAACTGACTGAGGCAACAAGTTATTATTTGGTCGTATCCTACGAGTCAATACGAAATGTCTTTATTTGTGTATCTAAAGTTTGCAGTTTTCATCCTCGCTCTGTCCTCGGCTAGTTTCGCTGAAGAAAATGCAACTTCTTCCACAGAAAGTACAAATATTTCAACCGACCAACAAATGACAGCTGTCAATATGACAAATGCATCATCCATTTGCCAAAGCTACAAGCGTAAACTTCAAATTGATGAATCAGACGTCGAGGAAATTCTGAGACTTATGCATATTTATACTACTAATGTTGTAGAGATAGAAGTAACTGTCGGTTCGAATAATAATTCTCTCCAATTCACATGGTATTGGGCAAGCGAAATTGGTCGAACCATCATCTCACTGATTGCAAAAAATAATATTTCGTCGCTGTCTTCCTCTAGTTCTTACCACTTAACCACGCTTAAGGCTGGGATCGAAAAACTGAATGTTGTCGTTTCTGAATCTGAGGATAACTACGGATGTTTGCCAACAGGAATCAACGAGTCTGAAATTGCTTTTAACTTTTTGCTACATAAGCTTTTTCGTCCAGAGGACGCTCATGACTATAAATTATGCCGGCTTCACAGTGATGAGAGGGATGTGAAACAATACAACTGCTGTAGGGTAGCCATAGGAAACCTGACAATTTGCGCTGACTATTCATCAATTATTCTTGAACATGCTGAAAGTTACCTAACCTGGGCAGTGGTCTTCCTCTTTCTCTACATTGGTTGTCCTCTGATGCTTAATTATATACTATCATTCCAGGAGGAGAGTGATAAATACAAGATCACTGACAGTCCTATGGCACTTTCATTTATTTTCCATAGCGTATTTTTCAAGGCATCGAAAAATCCATCAAAAAAATGTCTTAGAAGATTGGCATTTTCGTTGACAGTCACAATGATTCTCAGTATTACTTTCTCAGATAGGAATTCCATTATAATTTTGTCGGTGTGGACCTTCTTTTTTACGATTTTTGATATCTTTGACATGAATGAGTTCTTTAAGAAGCGATTAATAGGAACTGATAAAGTCAATTTCTTCAAAAAATATCTCTTCCTTTTAACATTACCGTTAAATGTCAAATTCTATTGGACGATTTTTGCAGAGAAGCGTTCGCAAGGTGAGCGTTCGCATGCAGAGGATCGTTTCCGAGTACAACGTTTACAAGAGGAGCATCCTTCAGAGGATATTTCACCAGAAGAGCATTCACAAGTGGGGCATTGGCAAGAGGAGCGTTCACGAGAATGTCCATCCCTCGGTGAGCTTTTTTCAAAGATGGTCTCTTCAGCCTGCTGGAAGCATATGCATAAGCAATTATGGACAGTAATATACATTTTCTTTTGCGTGATTCTATATCCATTATTTGCGTGTGTTACTTTTTCTCTCGCTACCGCCACCCAACATATAACGTGGTTTATACTTATTTTTAAATATAGCAAGCGCTGCGCATATTTAGGAACCATCACTATTAATTTGATTAATTATGCTATGGTTCCAATGACTTGCGCTATTGTTTTCGTCTTCGTTACAACTTTTTTAAATTATGTCCTCTTTTTCGTCATCGGTCTATACCTTAATGGATCAATTTACAGCCCAATCGTGACGCCGATTGCAGTTTTTATCGTTTATTCTTGGGGCAGCTGGAGATCGTTGGTAGAAACAAAGTACTTGCAACTTAAAAATAGAATTTACGAAGTTTGCAAGGAATGTGCAAAGAATAGAGGTTCTGCTGAAGATGAATTGCAAATTTTGGATACTTCTTTGGGGGATAATGCCGTTGCTGAAGCAGAAATTCACAATGAAGATCGTTCTGTTGGAATTATGTATTCTGTTAACGTTAAGGACGGAGCTATTCCGGAAGCTCTCTATGATAAACTACGTAAAAATATCTTGCCGTATAACGAAGTCTTGTTTTATTTCTTCGTACGAATGTATTTTGTGTTCAATTTTTGTCTTTTTTTGTCTGTTATGATATTATTAGCTCAAAAGTCCAACATTTCGGAGCCTGTTCAAATCATGAGCACATTTGCAATAGCTACACTTCCGCTTCTGTTTACCATAGTATTGGCTGAAGACACATCTGAGCAAAAAGATGCCTATAACGAGGAACTGAAGCAAGAAATCGACAAATTTTTGGAAATAGTAAAAACATCTGAAAATATGGTAATTGTTAATGTGAAATGTGAAGAGAAAAAGATTTACATAGCAGAAATTATTCATTCTCTTCGCCATGTTTCATCCCAAATGCGAATGCTATTGCGAGGCGACAGACATGCATCGAGTACTCAACTACAGTGAACACCAACCTTATAAAAGAAATTACATTAACTGTTAAAGTATTTATATCCGTCGGACGAATGCCAACATCACTCTAGTTCATTTAAAATCAAACGCAACAGTTTGTAGCTAAATGCTTTTGACATGTTCATCCTGATAGGCGCGAAAATATCTTCGCGAATTGGCAAACAATTTTACTGAATTTACCGACAAAAAATATAAAACGTTCAACGGCAATTGTATGAAACGAAGGGCTTTCCTTGTATACCCATATTTCGCCTGTTTACCGATGAAATTTAGGTAACCAGGATGTTTTGCACACACACGTACAAACCGGCACAATTTTCAAAACAATCGTTTTCTCGAAACAACTGGACGAGGAGTTGGTGCAAGCAAGTTCCAAAATGCGAAGAAACATTTTCTTATATAGTTTGTGCGTGTTCAGCTTACAATAAAAAACGGGGAGTGATTTTTTACTAAACTTTAGCACAAGAGATCTTCATGTATATACACTGATCAAAACACTATATGCTCAACTGATATATTATTAGCTATAGTGTAATATATATGAAGTTATAAACATACAGGCTTACTTTTCTTTAATTATTGCACCTGCCAATTTTTGAAGTAAATCTTTTAAATGTATAATTATCATAATCTAATCAATAATAAACACGAGAGTGTTGTTTGCTGACGTTTATTAATTACAATTTAATCAACACTAGGTTCAAGTCGTTCCCTCAGTTTGTATACTTGAAGCTTGAACATCAGTTTTACTGTCGCTTGCAGACGCTCTGCTGTCTTGTACTGTGTCCAAAAACGATTGCATCTCCTTATCTAAAATAATGACGTAGAAATGTCTTCTAATTGGATCTAATTACAAAGTGGATGGTCAAGTGTCACTAAAATCACACACGTACCATTTTGACGTAGCATATTAAAACCCCTCGAATACAGCTCCAACGCATGAGAATGATATTTGAGCTCGCTCTCTGTAAACGCGAGGAGAACAGCGCGGAGTTCTTCAACGCGTTGTTTATCAAACGACTCCAGCTCCTCCTTCAACGAATGAAAAGCCTTTTCTGTCTCGACGATCGACGCGTTTAGCGCCGACTGCGCCTTTGTGAACTTCTGCTTGTCCAACGGCTCGGTCTCCTTAATCTTTCTAAGATGCTTCTCTTTGCGCATCTCATCTTTCTGAGATTTCAAAGCAAAATCGATGTTGAACGTTGCTTGCTTGCAACGGCACCGAGACAACGACAATTCTCCGATAACCTTGTCATAAATCATGGAAACATGTTTTTCTTTGTACTTTCCGACATTGATTAGAATTTTCGAGAATAGTTCTAACGTTTCTCGGAATTTTCCTTTCTCTCCTATGAAAATTTTTTCGATGCTGTTGCCAACTTCGTCGTTGCGTTTTTTACTCTTGCTCAAAGTCTCAGAGTATTTCTCGATGTTCTTTTTCAACATCGATATTTCTTTTTCGAGCTTTTTAATATTTTCTTGCTGAGCTATTATCAATTCGTCGTATTTGTCCTGTTTTTCTTTCCTGTTTCCGCTGTCCTTTTCGCTCATGGTTAGATTGGTCTTTAGCTATCTACGAATTGAGAGTGGCAATTTGCGTGTTGTGATTCCGAATTATGGTTTGAAGAGAAATTTTGCGCGCGCATCATTATTGTGACGTCAGTTTATTGTGTAGTCACATGCTGATACGCTCGCGCTGCTGCAGTGTGCATTTTATAAAACTGGAGCAAGATTTATGAGTATTCATATTGACAAATTAACTTCAACGGTGTTGTAAGTACATGCAGTCATGTTGATTAGAATTTTATACATTTTTAAAACTTTTGTTTGTCAGTAAAGATTGTTTGTAAATATTATATTTTTCTATACTTTATTGCGACATGTATAATAATAAAGACTCGTACGTTTTACTGATACTCATAAAATTAGAATCATACATTTAGATTTATACTATTTTTATACTGTCTTCTAACATTGACAACACACTTGCTATTGTTGAAACTGATAGTCAAATCAGGCCGTCGCTAGTAATTGGGGGAGGTGGGGTGCATATTCATATATTCGTCTTATACCCGACTGATTTCTTTTACTAGCTATTGTTTTTACGGTTATATGCAAATGGTTATATAAGTATAAAACCATCTATTAAACTAGTCTTTTAGCGACAGCCCTGAGTCAAATCATTCGAAGTGTCAAATTTTATTCGTTTCATGCTGATGTAACTTCTTCTTCAAATTTCTGACGTTTCTTTCGGTAACGGCGGTGAGATCGTGAACGTAGATGAGCCTCCCAATTCTGATCACCGATAATGATCATACCGTTGCACACGGTGCACGTGTGATTCGAGTGCTTGGCCTCGATGCTAGTAATTTTCCTCTCTAATGGCACGTGTGCAACCTCTTGTCCTGTCTTAAACGATTTCACAATGTCCAAAGCCTTCTCAAGCGCCTCGGATTTCCATTTCTCTAAATCAGTTGCATCTAAACCATACACGTCGGGAGAAGAGGTAGAGGGACGACCTAAGAATCTGTTGGTTACCCACCGCACCTGCTTCCTTGCATAGCGACGGGTTGCACATTTCATAGCCTCGACGCAGCTTTGAAACAATTCCGGACTTTCCTCCACTTTGGAGTTTCCGCCATCTAGGAATTCTCGGAATTCTTTAAAACCGATCGATTGGAAGATACCCTCATTGTTATACATTTTAGATTCGGAGGATTCATGTTTCCAAGAAATATAGAAATCTATCAGCTCTTGGACAAGACCCTGTTCTATCATCTGGTCAACTCTAGCATCCAGTCTCTTGTCAAGGGTCTCGAATTCGCACTGCAACCATAGAACACAAACATTCTTAAATCTCATTGGTCCGCTGTACACGCTGGAGCCCGCACGCGACTGTTGCTGTGAAATATGCTCCGTGTGAGTGACCCCAGACTTCTGGTACACCTGCAAACTTCTCTTGATTTTTCGTGTGTCATTGGGATGAAGCTTCTGCGCCATAGCTAAATCAACTTTCGCTAGCTGCTCATGCAATGAAATATCGTGTATGGTATGTTTACTGGTGGAGCAAGGTGGGACACTGCTATCAAGGATTTTCGAGTCCCCGCCTCCCTGCATTGAATTTGGGGTTTCAGAATTCTTTTGACCGTTATGACAAATTTCCAAACTGCTTTCTTCAGTTGCATTTAGTTTTGGTCCGGTAGTGGAACTATCACTATCGTCATCTTCCTCTTTTTCAAATTTCGCGCCAATCGTGCTTGTCGGGTTTCCACCGCGTGCGCTGTTATCTTCGTTTCGTTTTTCGCGTTCATCTTCTTCGACTCGCGTGCTTACACTGCTGCATGCAGAACCACCTTCGTCTCGTTCCCCGATTTCAACATTTTGAAACTCCGATTGAATTTCCTCATCTTCCGCTCGACGAGCATTTCGTTCATCGATCAAATTTTCCCACAGCAAAGATTCGATATAATAATTCGTTCCGCCGACAATTATCGGTACTTTTTGTCGCTCGATTATATCAGAAATAACATTTAACGCAATTGTTTTAAATTCGACCACCGAAAATTTGTCTTTTGCGTCGACAAAGTCCAGCAGATGATGAGGAATTGTCGCTCGCTCCTCTGCCGTGACTTTGTTCGTAATTATGTCTAATCCTTTGTAAACCTGCATCGAATCAGCGCTTATTATTTCGCCATTGATTCGCTTTCCAATTTCAAGGGAAAGTTTAGATTTTCCTGTCCCTGTGCAGCCGAGTATAACTATAATAAATGGCTCCGTTTCGTTCCCATCGGTCGCCATTTTTGTGTTTGGAAATCGTCAATGTTGATAATATATGCTGCCACTTCGAATTATTTTGCAATGAAAAATTTTACTATGCCAAAGCCTTCTCATAAACAATCCGGTGGCATAGTTAAAAAATATATATTCATGGCTCAAAAACACTTTACGACCAAAAAGATTTTTTAATTTGAAAACAATGCAGAATATTTTTATTAAAGTTTTAAAAAAACATTTAGTTTCATTTTCAATGTTCTTTGAAGCTAAGGAATTTGCAGCATCAAGCGGAAGCACAAAAATTGAAATATGGCGGCAAATTGCGGCGGGAAACGAAAACGTGGTTTGAGTTTAAAATCGTTTAAAAAGCCCGCTTTAAATTCATATTTTAAAAAGCAATCACTTGAAAAATGTTCTAAAGAAGTGCCTTCGAGTAAAGGCCAGTCAAATTCAGGCCCAGAAAAGATAAATTTGGTGAATAAAGCAGAAAATGAGACACCAATTTCTGAGACTAGGTGAGTATGTTTAATTCAGGAATGTTTACATGAGCCCGGTTCCCTGAGATTCAGCAAAGCGTGAGTTGATTTTGAGGTATTAAAATTTCATTCACAGATATTTGTACATGCACAGAATATTAGACCTGTTGTTATGCTGCTTTTACCACTTGCTTTTAGAATTTGTTTACAATATATAGTACTTGTTCTAAAATATATGTTACTTGTTTTAAAAAATATATTACTTGTTTTAAAACATATATTACTTGTTTTAAAATCTTATTATTTTAATGACTAATAATATAGTTTTTCACAGCTTGTTGAAGATAGAAGTTTGTTGTAAATTTATTCCCGCAATTTGCAATCCTTCTGACTTGAGTCAATTGAACAAATTGTGACAACCATGTAGTAATTATGATGCATAGTACAAATCACTGACTAGATTAAAATATAATAGGGTAATTGGGTAATTTTTGTGGGAATTGTTTCCCTGGCCCCTTTAATTTTTAGGCCCGTACGCCTGTGATTATTGACAAAATTATAATAATAATAATAATAATTAAAATTTATATAGCGCAAATTAACATATAAATATGATCAAATGCGCTTTTTGGGATTGTTTGAATTTCAAAACAGTTTTATTTGTATGTAAAACAGAAGTGTTCTGTACTGATTTGTGGAATAAATATTTTAGAATGAAGCTGTTTGGTCTGATGCAAAGATTCAAGAACTGGAAGGATATGACACCTCTTCCTTTAAGTCCTTTGGTAGGAGTCTAAGTACATCTTATTATATATGATAAGGGTTTCCGAATTGGAAATTCCAAGCTTAGCTGTTGTGGACTAAGGCAGCTAATAAAATGTATCAGGTACTACAAATATTACATTGTATACCTGTTACTTATGTATTTTATTGCAAAATTGTTTAACTAAGCAAATGAAAGCAAGATATTCACAGTGTATGTGAATTCTGTCAATGGTCAATGTATTCTAATATAGGGTAGACAAACATTTGTTTACAGTTAATGAAACTTTTTTGCATTTTGCAAGAGTTGACTGGTTGACAGTTGTACAGAGACTCTGAAGGCAAAGCCAACATAGTTTTGTACTTAAATAGAAGATGTAAAACTTGCACTCAGCTACTACATAGAGATCAGTAGCTTCGACAAATGAGCATGCGTGGGTGTTTGGCGAGGATGTAGCTAGAGAATAAAGCTTTTTTTCCCACAGCCACCCTTAACCCATGTGTCAGCTCTCTTTTATGCCACTGATCTATATGTACATAGCAGCTGAATGAATTTAGGTTGAAGCCAACTGCTTTATTGATAAGATCTCCCACCTTGTTCTTGCGAGCAGCAATTTAGCTGCCCACACTGCCATGAACATTTGGTGTTTCTTCAATGAAACACAATTATGGTTCAAATTTTGAGGAGTGTTGCAGACTGCTGCTTCAAAATATGTAAATGATGGGTATTTTCAACCTCATTGGACTGAGCTGACATAAAAATAATATTTTTCAGATTAAATCACTAACTGAAACCCAAAATGAGGTCAATGATAAATGGACTGAGACACACGGTAGCTCAAATAGTTGTACTTCCCATGAAATGGGGAACAACAATTATGTTGACTTGCCCAAACTTGGGGATCACTTTCTTTCTCACAAAGCACAGTTTTATGCATTCAATGAATATGATGAGTTTTGTATGGAAACAGACGAGCATGAACCGCCTGCGATCCAAATAAAACAACAGTCAAAAAATGAATTTGGAAGGGACAAAAATGAGCCAAACCTTTTAAAGCATAATGAAAAGATAGTGAAAGATAATGAAATGATTGAATATCCTTGCTCCAAGGAGAAAATGAATAAGCGCTCTGATTTTTCTAACCATGAATTGGGAAAGTCTGTGAGGTCAACTGACAATGACTACACAGGATCAAATCAGGGTAGCAAGAAAGTAATTGAAATTGATTTAACTGATGATATTCAAGAGTTGTCTGGGTTTGACTTTGATGATTTTGAGTTTGAGGATACAGGTTTAGCCAAGGAAACAAAAGATGATTTGACAAAAGATGATAGGGTCCAAAATTCGAGCGAAGATAAATCAACTGGGGGAAGCAAGAACATAAATCTTGAAAGTATAATTGATGTCGCCTCACACGTTAAAGATAAAGCAAGCAATAGACATGATAGGACTTTGAAATCTAACAACCAATCAAAGAAGGGGAGAATTGACCAAAGGCAACACAAGAAAGAGAATACAAGTATGAAAGATGGAAATTCCATCAAAATTGTATCTACCAAAAGCCTCAAAAGTATTGTCTGTCATGACAGTAAAGATGTAGTACCAAATACTCCACCTAAAATAGGAAGACATGTAGAAAACAGCTGGGACTATAAAGCCCCACTCGAGCAGACAAGTAGGGCTGTAGATAATTCTGTCATTGCAAGACAGAGAAGTCCAAAGTTCAACAGTTTTTCTGAAGCAATTCGAGTAAGCAAATCTGTTAATGAAAGAAAAAATATCCCGAACAATTCTGAGAATACTTCACAGCGAGAAACGAAACCCCAAACATACACGTCTACGAAAACACCTTTAACTACAAGAAAAGAGGAAGCTGGGATCGATAAGAGTTCAAATGAAAGCTTGAAAGAATCGCATATTCCACATGGTATATCTCTGAGGGATTCTGTATTCTCGAAAAATTATGGTTCAGAATTTAAAACTGCTAATGAAATGTACAGTTTAAATAGAAAAAATGATCCGAAAGTACAAGATTTTACAAACAGATATGTAGGGGTGTCTCATCCCCCCAAAAGGCAAGGTATATTCAAAGAAGAATCGGGTAAAAACTATTCTGAATCAAAAAGTTTCCATTTGACACAAAATAAACAATCGTATGAGGATAAAAGAAAGCCGAAGCAGACGCCTGAGGGTGGGAAGCAGAATGCCATAAGCACCTCCAGTTTTTACACAAGTAGTCACAAATTAAAGCAATCCAAATGTGATAATAGTACAAATAATAGCCGCTTAGATGGTAATGATGGTCATTTGGAATCAGATGAGGATTTATTTGGATCAGATGATGGACTAGACGAAATCTTGGCTACAAGCTTTATAGAAGGTATGGATGAAAATGACCAAGGTGATACCAAGAGGTTAGGAGGGACAGATAATGATGGCATAGATGACTTACTTGCTAACGTTGACGAAGACATTGATGATGGTACCTTGGTAGCTTGCTGTGATGAGGCAATGTCACCAATGATTCCAGTCAGACAGAATTCATCTACTTCAAGATATTCAGGCTCTGTTCAGGTTAAGAATGAGAATCTTTCGAAGGGTGTGAAAAGAAGACTGGATATTCCTTATGGACAATCAAAGTTGAGAAAGTCAGATATCTCTGATGTCAGCCTTGAAGAATGCCCATTTTGTGCAAAACAGTTTCATTCTAGGTATATGCTTTTTGAACAAGTAATATTTGCTTTTTCTATTGTATATTGCATTGTCACTGCTATCCCCTTTTGAGAAAGTTAAAGAGATGTATTCTTTATGTATGTTTGTCAAGCTTTGATATCTATTTTATTTCCAGCATTTCACAGCACGACGTAAACCAGCACATAGCAATGTGCTGTAGTAGTGAAGATCTTGGTAATGACGATGAATTTTGGTGAATTAAAAGTTAACATCCGCCATACTCTGGCATTAAAATATCATGTTTTATCACTTGGTCGTGTATGTTATTGCAATTTCATGTTTTATTAATGGTGGTGTTTCAAAAAAACTTCAGGAGTTCGTCTATTGACTATGGTAGTAGTTCAAATGGCCAAGAACTACGTGAGCTGAAGCGGATTAATATTTTTCTTTTCATCCATGGATACTGTGTACCACAATCCCGGTAGATTGATTTCCAGAAGTAGGATGTCTTGTGCAATCGTTCGTGTTTATAAGTAATGCCTGGTCCTGGATAGACTTTCACATGTATAGCAATGTAAATAATGATATAATTAAGAGATCTAAATAGAACACAAGGTATATATATATGTATATATTATTAAAACATAGACATTACACAACTATATTACTACAATTGTTCTGCTATACTCTGTAAACGATTTGTTGACAACGGTCATTGAATAAATTAATGCAGTTATACAATATTTAATATTTTTTATAGTAATTGTTCTAAATATGAATTAGGCGGTTATAGGGAAACCCCAAAGGTCTGTCTATTTAACATTATTATTTGCAAAAACCTTTGTTAAAGCAAATATCTAGTTTCTACTGTTTTAGTTAAGAAAATATTCAGAACCTCTAGTTTCGGGTTTTGTACCGTAATCATGTAGGGCTTGTTTAACCCGTACTATTTCCTATGTTAATACAAACGAATTGGATCATTGTTGTTCTGTGCAAACTAGAGAAATAGTAACTATGTATATAACAGGCTTCATGTAAATATCAACAGGTATATGTGCTGTTACCTTAAATTGTCATTTTTGACCAATTATTAGTCCATAATTTGCGTAAACGTAGCCTCGACTATCTATAAATTACTATTCATGCATGTCTAATGCCATACTTAATTTGTTTGCTAATGTTAAATATTGTTCATTTTTTTTATTTGTTCGTTTCCACTTGTCCAGATGCCACTGGTACTTCAAAACTGTAGAGAGAAAAATATTTATTTTTAACCACTCGAATGACAAGAGGAAATAAATCTATCTGGTATAATGGAAACAAAAATACGGTTGATAATTTTATTTACCTTGAAGCTGCTGAATAGGTTCCACGTTCTAAAACAACAATAAAAAGACTTTAAATAACAAGTTCTTTAATTTCATCAAGCTATATTATTAAGCACTGGAAACTGGCTAAATTCTGAAGTCTATGGTGCTAGTATCATCTTAAACATTTACTTTGTCTTGCTCTGTCGGTCGTTTCCTTTGTTCTCAACGTGATGCCAAATATGTCTTCATGGTAATAGCCGTTGGTCTGTATTGGCGAAATTTTTAAGAATGATTTAGGTATATCGAGGTTTCAACAATTATCAAATGTAAAAAGTAGATTTCAGGGAAGTTGTTGATGTAACAACATGGGTTACCTTCATATTTTCCACAAAGTCTTCCACATTGTTATTCTGATCTTTTCCCACTGCCTCAAGTGCACTCTGTTTGGAAAAGAAAAAAGGTTGTTTTATAGTATTCTGAGAAACGCTTTTAACTTCTGTTCGTCTGTGTTTTGTCGACGCTTTATAATAGCAGCGTAATACCTCAGGCGAGGAGCTTAATGGTAGCAATTTTGAAACCAAAAAGCACATTCTCCTGCGTATCAATTATACATTGAGTTTCCGTTCACCTCTAGTGAGTTATAAACATCATCTGCCATAGAAACATCTCCACAGACATAAAAATGTCCGCTCTTGTTCACTAACATGTCGTAAACCTCGCTGGCGTGCTTCTTGATTAAATCTTGTACGTACGTCTGAAAGAGAAAGTGACGTTTTTAATATGGCATGTGTCCTGAACTATCATTACATGTCGTTTTGGTGGTGTAGACCTTAACTCGGCAATTTTGAGCACTGAACTGTGTACAAGTTCACTGCATGTAAAGGTCCTCACGATATCCCTAAAGCGATATGTCTTTAGGCAGTTTGGGGTGATTATTCATGGTAGCTGCTGGAGTTTTCATTGATAGAGTAATTTGTGCTTCTAGATTGTGCCCAGAGTAATGATGAATTATTTTTTGTCAAATAGAGAAACATTACTGGTACCTTTGGTGTATTTGGTTCCCTAGAGAATGCTGTGTATACTTTATCTAACCCTCCTTCTTTTATGGCTTGGGTTGTCTCGTGTTTGTATATATCATCATGTTTCGAACTGCGGCAACCGAAAAAGAGCGTCATTGGACCCCATGTAGAATTCGTGTCCTTGGAAAGCGTTGACGGACCTGGAAAGGCGAATATATTTAATTATGATAACGACAAAACTAGTTCAGCATTGCGTATCTGTACTGCGATGTTTTTAATTCCATATCATCAAATGTACACTCGGGACTCTTATGCTGAAGCAGCTAATTCAGTAACGGTCGGAAAAGACGAGTCTTAAAGTAGACTAGCGTATTTCATACAGCAGAGATGTCGTGTTTTTCTTCTTAATATGTTTCTTTGTGGAGACTTACGTTGATTTTTCCCTTTGTTTGTCAATTTATTCTTCTTTTCAAACAAACGCTGCTGCCAGAAACTGCGGAACGGTGCAATGCCAGTCCCAGGTCCCACCATGATGACGGGTACTGATGGATTCTCGGGCATGTGAAATGCACTGGCACTATGAATGGAATAATTTTTGTTATAGTGGAAAAGTAAATTAATTCTTTTAAAGAGGCGCGACGTGTTGCCATTCAGTTATTTCTTGTTCAGTAATTTAGTGTGTATGGTTTCTTGGAACTATCTCTATTACATTATTTGAAAAATATTATTCGATGGGTAACACCATTCAGCTGTTGCATTATTTATTCTTTCTCAAAGTGTGTGTTGGGAGGAGTTCAGGTACAGCTGACCGTTGAATATCGTCATTTGAACCAACGCAACTTGTTCAATTTTGTGTGAAGGTGGTCTCTATCAAAATAATAGGTGTAATCACATACTGTCTGACAGAACATGGAATCATATCTCCTGGTTTAAGGCTTTCTAACCAAGTGGAACATACTCCATTGTGCACTGGTCCTTGCCCATCTGTGGTCAAAAATGATAAAGATTATTCATTCTATGAGGTTTTTAAATGTAAGATAAAGATTATTCATTCTATGAGGTTTTTAAATGTAAGAAACAACAGTAATTTGTCAACAGTATGATCATTATCACTGAAAGCAAACACTAGGGGGAAAGGGAAAACGAAACATCAAAGACAAGAAGATATTGTATAGAACAGAGGACTTACTTTCTTTTTTAAATCTCACAACAGCAACAGTAGCATGGATTTCTCCCGGGTGCGCTTGAGGAGACGATGAGATGGAATAGAATCTCTGTTGATGGATATAAAAAACTCATTAGCGATATATAAATGTCTTTTAACGAAATTCTTTCTTTTTTAACTTGCCGGTTGTAGTCGTGGCAACTGCGTCAACAGAAGAGCAGCGGGAAGGTTTAAGGATGAGAAATCTTGAATCATCTCGACAATGTTTTTATTTTTATGGTACTTCCACTCTTCGTATTCAGATTCACCCTAAAAAAGGAAAAGCCAAATTGAGAAGATTATCTTCATAATCTTTATACTTTTAATACAGCTAATTAAAATAATCTTGTAGTATATGACTGGCAAGTTCAAATTGCTTGAGTGGGAGATATACCAACTTTCTCGACTGCCTTCGTATCAAAAGATGTAAACGATTTAAACCTACCTTTCCAAGAATTTCCAACTCCTTTTTCTCTGCTTCATCAGAGGCCTGTATGAAGAAACATCAAATTATTTACATCGTTGTAGCCGAATATCTGTCTTCAGAATCTGGTCTTACCAATGTTGCAAGGTAGTTGATCATTTGTGGTGACGGTGTCGCTGTGATATCGATGTATCTTGAGAATGCTTCGCGCAATGTGCAAGGATTGGGCAGGCTGTTGACCGAGTACCATTTCGTCACCTTGCCAAAAGGACCTTTAAAACACAGTGGACTATAGTTGTTTTATGAAAAAAAGAGTATATATTGTCTGCTAATAAAGAAACCAAACTTCTAAGATTGAATCTCCATGCATATAACATTTTTCTTGGATGTATACTTTCTTTTCTAAGTTGTCGGGCTAATCAAACATAGCTTATGGAAATTAACTGAGCCTATCATCATATGTCCGTTAGTTACCTGATTCAACTGTTGATGATTGCATGTTGATTGGTTTATCCGGCTGTGGAGCATTGTGAAGCTTGCTGAGCAGAGCTTCTACCAGATTGACGTCATTGGCAGGGAATATTGATACGTGATCACCAGGTTCATAGGCTAAGCTCTTCTCTCCCTGAGTATCGATCTTGACTAACAATGTAACATGACTAGAGAAAGGAATAACAATTATAAGTACAGGAACACACCTGAGATAATCTGTAACGAATATTTAAAAGGACTACTTTACCTTGCATCCCCAGACTGTAGATTTTTTTGTTCAACAAGTTTGCAAGGGTAAATCGTTCCCCGATAGAGATCACTGAGACCTAAAAGATCAATTGAATATCATACACGATAAACACTAGCATGTAGAAGTGCTCTTGAACGAAGCCAGCCTGGAATATAACTTGTCGCAAGAACGCCCTTTTTTTTCAAACCGAACACATGATGATCTTGAAAACTTACTTTTACATAACGGTGCAGGCTTGTCTTTCACTTCAACAAATCTGAATTTATCTGGCGACCATTCAGCTGAGATGGTGTCTAAGGGTGTGGCTGAACCAGACATGTTGGTATCCTCAATACAGAATGTCTCGCATGCCGCCTTGACAAAAAAGTTTACAATTGTTTCATAAGAGGCACTCTATGCATGAGAAATTATCTTTTGTTCTTTCAGCTTACAGACTTTAATCAAGATTCTATCCTGCATATAGGAAATATCTTGTTCTGTTCTTGACCAGGATTCCTCAATTCTTTATTAAGATTATGTTGTTAGAATTTACCTTGAATACATTCTTGGCCCAGTTCTTAAAGGATTCCTCTTGGCCACAAAGCTCATCTCCAGTTCCCAACGGTAAAATCGCCTCTCCGCCAAGTTCCAACAACAGCTTGTCAATGGATCGCGCAAATGCGCAGAAATTGGGGTAGGCATTGGAACCAAGACCGAACACAGAATATCTGTAAAGATGGTAAATTCGTTTTATAAATCAATCGCGGTTGAAAGTTGAAATTCTTTTCATAAATTTCTTCTTTCTTCTTTACCTTAAATTTGCAAGTGGCTGCGCATCTTCATCTTTTTTCGTATTTGACTTTTTCTTGTTCATTTCCATTAGTAACGCACTCGTTGTTCGTTTGAACTTTGATTTGCTCTCGCTTAAAATGATAAAACACGATTAAAATAGAAATTTACGTAGTCTTTCAGATCAGCAATGGAAGAAATTGGCGAAATTAGACGATGCTGCCTTGAAACCACGACTCTGAAACTGCATGGGAAGATGTTCAAGGTTGTACGACGCATGCAGGAGAATATCCCGCAAAATCGCTATAATTGAAATATACTACCTCGGAGGATGTCTGAGTTCGTAAAGTTCGTGCGCGTAACTCTAGAGAGGAAGGGAAAAGTGTATTCATGGCTGTGAACTCAGTAGTTATGTCCAATTTATCTCCGAAATGCTACGTATCGTCATGTATGGAAAGAAATTTTGTACGATAAAAAATAGCACAATGCTTACCTCTCCGTTCTCAGGGGGATCTCCATTACCGAAGGTACTCGTAACGACCAAAAGAAGCTCTTCGTATTCCATATCTGAGAAATCATAGTCGGCCATGCAAAATACCTGAAATATTGTATAAGTTGGAACTCGTAATATTTCTTGGAAATATTTACACGACATATTCTCGGATAGATTGTCCGGTGGATTACTTACCCTAGGATTGAATGCATAGGAAAACAATTCCTTCAATAGATTTGCATAATGCTCTGACTTTCCAGTCTCCGTTGCGTAGAGAATTGTGGCTTTCTGTCGCTTGGCCATCGCTTGGCCCATCAGCTTGGCTGAAAACTTCACCGCCCTGCACATAAACATCAACAGACTGGTTAGAAATGAAACACAAATATTCACGGAATAGAGAACACCGAACAGTACTTGCATTCGATGGAGTCTAAATCACATCCCAATGCGAAACAAATCGTTACCTGGCGACTTGTTTGAAAAGAAGTTTCTTTTTTGGTCTTTTTGTTCTAGTAAAGTTGTAGACTTTCCACGGATCTTCCTGTCAAGGACCAGAACAGGAAATAAATGGAAAATCTGCCTAGACTTGATCTATATTCCCAGACATGCAATGTTACGTCTTCGCTTCTTAAAATATATCATCTAAATTTTAAAATATCTTACCTGGTAGTCGTATGAGGGTCTTAAGTTGTAGTTTAACATTTCCTGCAAGAAGCGAGGCTTGTGTTACAAAAGACCGGAAGACGAAGCTTGAAAAGAATGTACGAGCAGCTCTTTTTGAAATATAGATGTTGTCAACTTACCAAATGAAAGACAGGGGTAGCACTCCCCGAAATAGGTGGGACAATCCACACCCAATCTGCGGGACAACCACCTCGAGCACGTTCCTAAGAGTAAAGGCGATTTCATAAAGAAATAACAAGGCTGTTGTTATCTTTTCAGAATTTTTACTGCATATCTTCCACCTTTACCCCCAGTAGTGAGTTTCCAAATACAAACCTCGTTTGCAACATGTTTCATGAAAGACTCTGTGGTGCTGTGGTGATCAGCAATAGTGACGTTGGCAAGCTGTAAAACGGTGTTAAAAAGTCTTAGTAATAATAATAATATCAGACTACTGTTTTTTATATCATGTATTTTCTTTTTCTGAAATCTTATTACCTGGTAACTATGTAGGACAGCAACATTCAATTCTACCAGCGCTCTGTCTTTCCAAAGTGTCGCATTGCTGCTAGTGTTCAGTCCCATTTTTTTTGCCACAATCTACAAATGAAAATACCAACACTGGTTGAGTAAAGATTCCAAAATGAATAGAAAAAAACCTCCTGGGATTTCCTACTTTAACTGCCACGTCAAGACTCGATGTATCTCATGGGTGGTGCTTGTGGTAATACGTACCGGAAGCATGTTATATCTGTAGGTGTCCCCGAAGTTCCTTGCTCCAATTTCTGTCCCCATGTACCTTTGGAAGAGGGAAGTATACACGTGAACGATGTTCAGAAACGTTAGAAAAAAGAAGGTGGAAACGCGAGGCCCATAATTAAAGCGAACTAAGTCAAATGAAATTTCATCAAGAAGTGGATGTTGTCAAAAAGTGTTATACGTATATTAGTATATAGTGTTGACCTCTTTCAAACCCCTATGGCAGAATCACGATGCAGAATCGTGCTCTCTAAATCTACATCAAGGGGTGACTTGACTCAAATACGCTTCTTGCGATTTTCCGAATTGCACGAGAAGTCAGAAAAGGTCAAAGCATTGGATAAATCACCGTGCAATGAAGTTAGAAAACAAGTCTAAGGATCGCATGCAACCTTCTTTCTTGATGTTGGGCTCGCAACTGTAAACTGGGTATTCTTTGCTCTAACTTACCATCCGTTAAAGGGAATTGCAGGAAACTCAATTCCACCACAATTCAGCATAAGACTGGAAACGGCAGGAATTGCATACCACTTCAATCCAAGCTCGGCAAACCAATCGAACCTATATGACGAAGGATTAAAAGTTATCTGGTCAACCCTGACACTGAGTTATCGCTCCAGTTGCATTAGAGTTCACTGGCCTACATTTACGTACTCTGGATGTGTTATGTCCACTTCCAAAATAATATCTTCTGGGATTTCAAACACCTCGGGCTCTTCACCATTGGCTTGAAGAACCAACGGCAGAACATCAAATCTACCATATTTTGGTTCCCATCCTAAACTGACACAGACCTGGCAAAGGAAACGAGAGAGAAAAAGCCCGTCAGTACGTTTCCAGAAATGGTACGAAAATAACAAAAGTTGCCTTTGCTCGTTTATAGGTATCGGCTTTTGTTTCCTAAATACCTCAAACAAAAACTACTTCGCCCAAGTTTTATTAAGGTGGAAAAAACCGTTTAGAAAATTACGTCATTAGCTTGGTAGCCTCGGTTTCAATGGTAGCTAGTAGATGCAAGGTGATAGGCCCGCGATATATGGAAGCCCCCGCGGCCAATGATGTAATTTTCAAAAGAGAATATTAAATATCTACACATCTTACGTCTGTAAACTCGACTCCGGCTGGATCTCCAATAATTGTGCCATCCTCTTTCTTGTACCCTGCATATCGGATCAATTGAGAATTCCAAACTCTGAAGTCTCTTCCTGGACCTCGTCTTTGAGGAAACACTGTTATGGCCGATCTGAAACGGTGATTTAGTGAAAAAGCATTAAAGACCACGGTGTTTGTATCATTTATTTTGGCGTAACCAAGGAAACACGGAGGTTCCCACTTGTGTTGTTTTTTTTGAAATATTTACCTCAGGTTTCCCTTGTTTGTTGCATACTTGATGTGTTTGCAGATTGCTTCAAACATCTGCTGGGCGTTGAACACATCTCGCGAGTCAAATACCTAAGAATTTACGATAGTATATCTGAATACAAGCACTTCTTGGAATAACGCAATCAATGTTTGGTACTGATGAAAAAATAATCTGCTCCTTACCAATAAGACGTATTTTAATGTGACTATTCTCTATAACTCTGCAGGTGATCATTTTTCAGGTATAAGTACATTGCTTCACGCACCTGCAATTTATTCCACTGGATTCTTCCCACACATCTGGGAGCATTTCTCCAAGCTAGTTTCGCACCGAATACAAGCTCCTTCGCATCAATTTCGTACGTTCCTCTGTCGTCGATTTCTTTCAAAACTTGTTGAACTCTTTGGTTGTGTGCTGGGGTATCCACTCTGTAAACATAATTTGGCATTTAAGGAAAAACTGGTAAACAAACCTTTTTTCATGGAAAATCGCATCTTAGATCGGATTTTGCCTTTTCCCACAAGTAGCCTGGCTTTAGTCTTTGTTTTCTGTCATATCTGTCTCTCACGGAACTCTGTGTTTCACTCCCCATGAAAACTATATTTCCGCTACAAGTTTCGTTAATGGTATCCATGCATCATTTTGTTGGTGTCATCAAGCCTTTTAATCGCTCTTCCATTGATGCAGGTATGGAATTTTCTAAGTTCTTTCACATGCATGTTATACTAAAATCTACCTCAAACATGCAGGTTCTGAATCTATCTTAAATCGGTTGAATTGCTTCTGACACAAAGCCATCTAAGTTTTAGAGTTCATTTAAGAAGATATTGGATAATTTGAATTTGAAAATGGATTTTTATAGCTGCCAACTTAAGTGACGTACACTTAAGAACGTGGGACTTGAAAATAAACAGTGATAACACTGCACGATTTTGAAAATTTGCATATTAGCTATTTCTCGGGCTACGTCATGCATACGTACTTCTTCAAGGATGCGTAGTATTGCCTCAAGAAATCAACGGCGTCTTTCTTTGCCATGTCTTTGGGCATCAGCTCTCCGTTTGAGGAATTCTTGGTTGGAAACATAATTGAGCCCTTACAGCGATGCTCGTCGCAATGTGAAGGCTGAAGAGAATAGTTGGTCGCGATTAGTCATGCACTCTGTTTATTTATTTATTTATTTATTTATTTATTAAAAATTCTTTACACACGGTAACCTATTCAGTACTTTTATCTTAAACTATATACATTACTGTTTTTCAAAGGGCCGTCGGTCTGTCACTAAGGGCTGCCTCCACTGTCGGGGTTTTTGTATACCTATACGTATACGCACGTGAAAGTTTAAAATCATTTGAATTATTCTTTTGAGATCAATGATTGAATAGATGCTTAGGGCTGGATTCTGGTGAATATTTGCTGTGTTTTTCTTGCATAAAGTTGAGAATATACAACAACTTAGAAGGTTTTTAGATTTTACGTGCGTGTACGTGCGTATGAAAAACGCGTAAGTGGAAAGAAGCGCTAACACTCTTTTCTAATCTGATGTGTTATTCGTTTAATCCTAGCACTTAATCCCATATGTCAAACGACTTGAAGAACCCTTAAGCAGATTTATAATCAATCCAAACTCCAATCCGTCAAAAGTCTTTATCGGGCGAAACCTCATTCTATCCTACTGCAGTGTTATGATTGTTATCTCAGTTCTAGGGATTGATCAAGACTCCATCCAGTCTTGTGGAACTTGATAAGATCCTCTAAACCCTCATCAGTCTAATAAGTCGTAATGGAATCTTGATTTATCCCAGGAAATGACCAAGACTTCAGTCTCCTACTTATATCAATGAAAACCTCATCCAACTTGACCTAAAGCTATGTCAAAGTTTAAGCAGTCATAGGACTTGATCAAATCGTATCCAGCTCCAGGATTTGATGTGTCTAAACTTTATTCCATTCTGGTCTTACGAATTGCAATGTACATATTACCCTAAAATTTTTATCCATCGAAACGTTTTCTAAAACATACCATATTTTTCTGTTTATGAAGTGTGTCTGTGACTTGCTTCTCGGTATTCCAGTTTTTAAGACGGACAAATTTCTGTTCGACGACCTCGACATTCTTTCCGTTTTTAGCTCCTCCGTGTCCGTTGACAATCTTATCGTTGGCATCAACATTCTCAATTTTCGGTGATCTAATTGTTTTCATCGGGGAGCCCGCCTTGTTCGGAGAGTAAACGATCTCGCTTGGGCTAGCCTCCCGAGAATGTGTTTTGCCCAAGAGCTTCTTCATTGTCAATTCCTGAAATGAAAGAGTATATGTGTCGCGATAAACACTTCAAGAAATATTTAAAACTCAATGCGATGAGAATGTGTTTTGCCCAGGAGCTTCTCCATGCATTGTCAATTCCTGAAATGAAAGTGTGTATGCATGTGTCGTGATAAACACTTCAAGAAATTTAAGACTGAATGCAATCTGGTTTTTGTTTAGTCGTAAGTGTCGTGGACAGGTCAAGATGTTTGATGTGATAGAATGCTTCTATGTGTGGGCAATCCACAATGACCGATTTAAATACAAAAATAAAGACGGCCCAGAACGAAATCGCTAAAATCCATCGGTTGCAATCAAACCGCGGTGTTAACATGTCATAACCGAAGATCGCTGAATCTTTTCTTAGAATTTTATCAGCCGATATTGTTACAAAAAGAACAAAACAAAAATATTATTATACATGCCTTGACCTATTCCTATGTAAAGATATAGCATTCAAAATTTTTTGCTATATATACCCGCGGTTTTTGTCTGCTCAGGAAAAAATAAAAAGTTTTTGAATTCCTATATGCTAAGTCTCTTTCAAGCATTCATCATAATGGCAAACTCGCAGGGTGCTATGCTCGTTACCTCATGCAATATACAAAAGTTTCTTTGTAACATCCAACATGATCCAACAAGGTTCTACAACATTGTTAACAATACTGTTCCCAGGGTGCAGCACAACATTGTTCACCCCTGATGCGACAACCTGATCAATTTTTAGGCGTGTACAATTGTTATTAAAATAAAAATGGTTAAATTGACTAAAGTTGTCACAACACTTCATAAAAATATCATCATCAAACGAAAACATCCCTACCCAGACTAAGAAATTCTTCGGTTATTTTGAGCTAAAACGACTTTGCATCTCTTTATAACAGATAATATTATACATAACATTGCTGTTCACCTTAAGGCGATAAAAACACAAAGGTCTTATAAGATCTTATACTGCTTGCGTAGCCAAATTGCCTTATTATATGCTAAAGACCAGTAATACAGTAAGACATGCAGGGGTCCGGATATATTTTGTCTATAGCAATGGCGAAAATCGACAACAAAATGTGCTTGTCCGTTCCCCTCAAATGTTATAATCAAGCTGTCGGCCGTAAGTGAGGTTGCCTTTTTCGCGTTTTCCCTCCCTCGGCAAACACAAATGATACTTCAAAGACGCTCAGGTTTTTCTGTCGAATGAAACAAAACAGGGATAAAGGTTAAATAACTACCGGTGCTGCGCTTGACATACACGACATAACGACATAAACTACGCCGAGTGCCGTTTGGTGCAGCACAGAGGTTTGTTTCGTTCTGTTTTGACTCTTCATCAATCGAAAACAACTTGTGCGTTTATAATCGTGTATACGTATGAGATAAGTTTGTTTATACTTTTATTGTCGAGTAGTTTGTCTATATATTTTTAAGGACCAGAGTGAATTAACTTCTAGTCAACTAATACGGAGTAAACTCATATTAAATTAAATCAATTAGGATTTTTGGCACTTCAATTGATGTAGGTAAATTCTAGAGGTTGAAAGGGTCTTAATTTAGAGTGGAATTATACACACTTCAAATTCAAGCCAGGAACAGTTGACGGGAAAATGAGTCAACTATAGGTTCTCCGGCAGGAATCGAAACTACGCTTTTTGCAATGCGGATGCAATGCTCTTGCCACTTAAAAAGCGTAGGTTCGATTCCTGCCGGAGAACCGATAGTTGACTCATTTTTCCGTCAACTGTTCCTCAGTGGCTTGAATTTGAAGTGTGTATAATTTCCTCTAAACTAAGACCCTTTCAACCTCTAATATTAAAGTAGTTATAATCTCTCGGAAAAAAGTACAAAAAGTTCATTCTTCATTCCGTTGTTCGAGAGAACTGGATGCTATAATGATCGTTGCCATAGTACGATATTGCCCGGTTTATTAATTGCGCATCAAAAGAGCACTTTAAGTACAAAACTGCATTGCTCTTAATTGTATATAGCAGGCCGTCCGCAATCTTGACGGGAAGTTGAATGATGAGGTTAGGCGTTAGCAGTTCTTAGAATAACCCTGCCGGAACAATCTGAGTTCGTCGAATTGACAATTTAGCTCTGTATATGACGCAAAACTGTGATATCCTTAGTCTAAGAATTGCGGCTTTGCTTGATTAATTACTAGCTATATTTATTACCGTCTATTGAACCGTGTATTGACATAAAGTTTTAGACAATTAAATCTCTTGTTACAAATCAACTTGTTGCAATCGTGATATTGCTTACATACATAGTTACATAAAAAATTTATTTCACGCTATATATGGCCTTATCAGCCAGCCATTTGGAGACTGATTTCCATGAGGCTCGTAATGGTAAAATTAACTACAGTAATTTTGAGGATTGTGGTTAAGCACAAGCCTTTTTAAGCTCATTCTTTTGTTCAACATTGTTATCCATATTGTTACCCATATCACCTCAGCTCTATAATTTGCCATCAGATTAGTAATCTTTATATATTTCAAAGTATTCTTTGGAAATCAACAATTAATAGCGTTGTTATTCCATATTTCATGTTTCAGATAATTTATCATTTCATCGCTCTATTCGCTGCAAAACTGATGGTCAGTTTCTTTAGTTTGACTAAATATTTTCTTATATGTCTTAAATAACCCATTTTTATAAGAGATGGGTAATCTCTTAGATGGATATAGACTTGACACGGACAATAGGCCAAGAAAATATAGTTCGTCGAATCGCCGAACGCCATGCAAGGAACAAAAATATAACCCATAAGTGATAATAGAGAGGAACTGTTTGCGAAGTTCATTTGAATCCCAGCATTAAATGAACAAACTTTGAATTCATAAATTCTCTTAAAGCTTCCTTAAAAATATTGATTCTGAGTTAACCCGCCTTTATCTCCCCTAAACTATGTTTGGTATTTAAATTAAGTTGCTTTAGTAATTTTACAGCCGTGCAAATCTTTTTGCCATAAAGGTCTCATTGTGTACTATAGTCGAAGGAAAGTCCACTGAGTATTGCATGGGTGATAAATTAAATTTGAGAACGTTTAAGATCTAAATTTACCGAAATAACTATATTCCGTATAACCAATCTTAAAAAACGTACCAAAAGTTCATCATTAATGTAACCGCATTTCTTTTTGTTGATGGTAGGCATTTTTTCAGGATGACTATCAACACTTATATAGTATATTACACTTTAGCCAGCTTTGTGCCTTTCGTCTTGTTCCACTTTAGTTACCAAACTGATTTAGACCGTTTGGATCGTATCTTATTTATATGCAAGCGCAAACATATTATAAGGTTAATAGACCATTGCACTGTCGTCACAGTCTCTTTGTTTCCCAAATCGTTCCTTGTGTTAATAAAGACTCACGCACATCTAAGAAAGCGCTAAACGAACCAAAGTTCTTTCGCTATATATAGCTGCGATTTCTATGGTTTTCCAGACATTTACGTAAGTCGGAAAATTTATGCTTTAAGAAATTTATGCAACGTCAAGGGCCTTTAGCAGGCTTCTGTGCTCTTTTTTTAGTCTCTACAAGGCAGAAATTTTTCTTGCTTGCATGATCTGCCGATGAAAGATTTTTGCTTTCTTTTGCAGTTTTGCTGTCTGTGTATTGCATCGTATCCGAGTAATCGGATTTAGACATTAGAGAGGTTGATACCCCGGTTTTGGTATACGGGTACGGGTAGCCATAATTTGCTCATTGGAATTTCTTGTTGTTTGCACGTTTCAAGATACAAACAATGCTTACCTCAAGAAGCTTAATTCTACTGGAAAAGAATTGTCGAGGTAACCTTCGAAAAATTGAGAAACACTGATGGAAATTCACTGAACAAAATATCTATCCGTACCCGTATACCGGAACCGGGGTATCTTAACCTCTTTATTCAATGTGGGGTTTGCGAGCACTTAGATGAACGGTCACATATAGTTTAATTCTTTCTAGCACTTGAATAAGTTGAAGGGCAGCAAAGAAACAGCTTTTTTAATGCCAGAAGGAAGTCACGTCTGCATTAATAAAACGCACAGCGGTGTGTCTAGAAATACAGACCTGCACAGGAAATACCTTTTATTATAGATATCAACGAATTCGTGTATATTAGACCCCTTTTACATTATACCGGATTCGCATTGTCGCGACATCAAAATTGCCCACGTCGAATAAAGCGTGTTTTATCCCCAAATTGTGGTAACATTGTTGCCCTAACATGATCTGCCAAATGAAAGAGTTCTGCGGGAATAGAGGTACCGTAAAACAACTTAATCTGATGTCGTGACCATCTGAATCCTGTATAGTGTAAATACGTAGGGTCTTAGTGTATTATATGCACGCGCGAACACAGTAATGGTCCACTTTGAACGTTTATAGAATGTTGTGACGTCGTAATGTCCCGACATCAAAATCAACCACGTCATAGCGTGTTTTACCCCCCAAATTATGATAGCAGCATTGCTTTAACATGATCTGCCAAATGAAAATGTTCTGCGGGAACAACTTAAACTGATGCCGTGACCATGTGAATCCTGTATCATTACCAGAAATTTGTGACAAAATGGCTGTCGCTTGTGCGCTAATTTGCATTTAATCCGTAGATAAAGGGCCTTCGAATTTTACTATAAAATACATTGAGTGAAATTATAAAACGTCGTAATATCAGAGCCACTGACTTGGAGCACTGTTTACCGACCTTTAGATGGATAGAACGTGCAACTGAACTTATAAAATCGCTCACATTTATACGAACATTTCAATTTGGATTGTTGATGAATTGACGTGTAAAATACCAAGAAATTTTGTTAAATATATTGTCCTTCGTATTCCTAATATGAGTAATATGAATTTCCTGTGCGGTCCAGATTTTTTCTGCAGTTGCACATTAAAAATATTATCAGTCTGATAAAGCAGTTAAACCATACAAAGCGTAAATACACATTTGAACACAGTCAGTTGGCGGAACGTAGAAACACGCAAGGTAAGTAATTCG